TGATTTGGTGCCTACTACATTCAGAGAGGCCGAGCAGAGTTCGGAGGCTGATTCGTGGCAGGGGGCTATGCAGGAGGAGATGGAATCTCTTCATAAGAACGATACATGGGAGCTTGTTGAGCTTCCCGGAAGACAATTGGTTGCAAGTGGGTATACACGAAGAAGGAGGGCATTGAAGGCACTCCATTGAGGTTCAAGGCTAGGTTGGTTGCGAAGGGCTATGCACAGGAGGAAGGTATTGACTATAATGAGGTTTTCTCTCTGGTGGTGAAGCATTCTTCGATTCAGATTTTGCTAGATTTGGTGGCACAGTATGGTTTGGAGTTAGATCAGTTGGATGTGAAGACGACATTTCTTCATGATGATCTTGATAAAGAAATATATATGACTTAGCCATTGGGATTCCGAGCTGCAGGAAAAGAAAAGTTAGTTTGCAAACTAAAGAAATCGCTATATGGTTTGAAGCAGTCTCCTCGACAGTGGTATAGGCGATTCGATGGTTTTATGATTGGTCATTCGTATACTCGGAGCCAGTTTGATCCTTGTGTATATTTTTGTAAGTTGAAAGGCGGTGCGTACATTTATTTGTTACTCTATGTCGATGACATGTTGGTTGCCTCTATTTCCAGGTCGGCTATAGATGAGTTGAAAGTTCAGCTTTCAAATGAGTTTGAGATGAAGGACTTGGGTGAGACGAAACACATTTTAGAGATGGAGATCGGCAGAGATAAGAAGAAGGGCAGAATTTGTTTGACACAGGTGGCTTATTTGAAGAAGGTTCTACAGCGATTCCATGTTAGCATGGATACGAAGCCAGTTGGTGTACCTTTGGGAGACCATTTGAAGCTTTCAGCTGGTCTTTCACCAAAGTCAGTTAAAGATCGTGAGTTGATGTCGAAGACTCCATATGCGAGCGCGGTTAGGAGCTTGATGTACGCAATGGTATGTACGAGACCAGATTTGTCACAGGTGGTGAGCATGGTTTCGAGATACATGCACGATCCAGGAGTGGGTCATTGGGACGCCGTGAGATGGATTTTGAGGTACATTCGAGGTACGCTCAATGTTGGTTTGGTTTATGAGCGGGACACTACAGGTGGACAGCTATGCATTGGCTATGTTGATTCGGATTATGCCGGGGATTTGGATAAGCGCCGGTCTACGACGGGGTATGTGTTCACTTTGACCCGTGCACCGGTGTGTTGGAGATGAACCTTATAGTCTACGGTGGCTTTGTCTACGATGGAGGCAGAGTATATGGCAGTTACAAAGGCTGTGAAGGAGGCTATTTGACTTCGAGGACTTTTGGAGGAACTTGGTATATCGCAGAGGTCCGTCACTATTCATTGTGATAGCATGAGTGCTATCTATTTGGCGAAGAATCAGGTTTTTCATGCGAGAACGAAGCGTATTGACGTTCGTTATCACTTCGTTCGGGATGTTCTTGAAGATGGCGATGTGGAAATTATGAAAGTCCACACGAAGGATAATCCGACGGATATGCTCACTAAGGTGGTTCCGAGCAACAAGTTTGATCATTGTCGAAACTTGTTGCATATTTGTGATTGTTGAGGCCGTTGACGGCCATTTGGATGAACTACGTTCGGCTTGATTCATTGGACAAGAGGATACGTAGACAGTCTTTCAGATGTAGCCGGTTTGGATTAGTTGATTTTGATGGGGGTGAGATTGTTTGGACTCTCTTTCGGGTTCTCGACTTGTTGTGGATTAAGTCCGTTGTCGTGAATTGTTTCACGGCGTACTGGATACAACAAGTGGGACATTTGGTTTCTTTGGTGTCGGCTCAGTTTTGGAAAAACTTCACCGAGGTGGAGAATTGTGAACATGGGGTCCACTATGTTCACGAATTGGGGCAGCAAAGTGCACGGGAGGCAAGGACGTGGGGGCCACCTTCATGAAGTTGAAGTTCACGCACATTTTCTTTTCCGCACAGTGCAGGCCCACCCGAATTAGCTATAGCCTATATATAACTCTTTTAATCGTTCCTAGGGCTTTGAGCAGGCAGAGGTGCAGGAGATTGTTTTAGTTTTGACGGCTGCGAATTTCTTTGTAGCTACAGAGGAGGTGCAAAAGAAAAGAAAAGAAGAGGCTTTTCTTTTAGGGTTTTTTTGTGTATCCCTTTTGAGAGAGATTTTGTGAGGGATTTGAGAGTTTGTTTGAGGGTTTAGTTTGAGAGTAATTGTAAACCCTAGTTGTATTCTCTCTCTCTATTAGTAGATCTCCCCCCTTCTTGCCCCGTGGACGTAGGCAATTTTCCGAACCACGTAAAATTGATTGTCTCGTTATTTGTGTGATTTGTAATAGCTTTTTAGGTTCCCTCGACGCGCAGTCCTAGAGCTGACGAGAGGAAGAGCTAATATCTCACTTTAATGAGATATTAGGCTTCAGATTCTTGTTCCCTTTGAGAAACAAGAATTCTTATTGCGACCTAACTCTTGTTGTGCTGCCGAAGTGCTGTCGAAATTTCCGCTGCACGCAACATACATAATTTTACCAACAACAACCAAACAGCCCCTCAGCTTCCTTGTATTTCTTAATCTTTCACTGACAACTTCTGTACTAATTGAGCAGTAATGACTATAAAACAAACCTGTTATTAATTGCTAGATTAAGGGGCTGTTTGGTTGTATGTTTTTACCATGTAAAATGATAGAAAGTGTAAAAAAGTGGGTCCCATTGTCAGCTTTCCCCCTTTTCAATTGTTTGCTTGTAGCTGTAAAAATAGTGTAAAGTGCTTTACTATGCTGATGTGGCAGGTAAAGGCAATTCATAAAAAAAAGACCTGAATTAGGCAGAAAGCTGACAACAAGTCAGAAAAAAATACTAAAAAAACCAGCTTTTTTTCAACCAGCGCCTAGGGTTACCTTCTCTTTCTTTCAACCAGCTTTTTTTTTCACCCTTTCTCCTCCGCTCCTGGCTGCGACTCAAGTCGGAGAAGAAGAAAAATCGGCGCCAAGTCTCCGTCATTTGCTTCCCTTCAAGTCGAAGAAGGAAAAATCGGCGACTCGAAGTCTCCGTCTCCGTCGTTTGCTTCGCTTCAAGACCCGCTCGAGGAAAGGATTTGATCGAGGTATAAAAATTTCGCCTTTCTCTATTATTTCAAGTTCCCTTTCAAATTTCTTTTATTTTTTGCACAAAACTTTAAATTAATTTCGATCTGTCAAACACCCCTTTCAAATTTCTTTCAAATTTCGCCTCTCTCTCTCTCTCACTCTCAGATTTTGAGTAGATTTCAGGGTTCATATGGGTCTTTTCGTGTTCGTAGTAGTGGAATTTGAACTGGAGGAAATCAAATTAAGTTATTTGATTGAATTAATCAGAATTAGTTGTTGGTGGGTTAATTGGATTTGAGTTAATTTGAATTGATTTGTTCTGCTTGGTTGTTTTTTTCCCCTTTGTGTTGGCATTATTATTTCTAGTAAGTTAACTTGATTATTAGTGTTGATTGCTGAGAAAAGATGATTTACTAAATGCCTAGTTCATTATTTTGTGCATTAAGGTTCTGCAATTCACAGACTTTTGTTCTGCTTGGTTGTAACTTTTGACTTTTGTAGAGTAAAATTGTTAAGCCTTAAATATAAGCCTTATATACAGACACCTTATTGAAAAATGCTTAAGTCTAAACAGATAGAATTATTACCTTTCCCATCTCAAATATCAAGCTGCATTATTAGTATCCTAAGATGATACATTGCCCAAATACTAATGAACTCATTGTTCATGCTTTTAACCAAGCTGCCCATTTGTGCTCCATAAACAATAGATTACATCTAAAAAAGACCCATTATGCACTAACCCAAACCCCCCAATAAAAAAGTTAGGAAATTCATTTAGGTAATGCATATATGACATTCAACATTGCACGCAATGGTCCATACCAAGAAATAAAATAGAAGAGTTAGCATGTTCAATCCCTTGCAGACACTTAATACCCTCCAGTAGCAAAGGGTTATCAGCAACCATAAATATATCAATACTTCACTTTTACAATTATACATCCATATGCAAGTAACTCATTTTAGGATCATAGCGCAGAAAAAGGCTGCCAACCAACATTTCAGAGTATTCACACAACATAAAGTCTCAACTGCCGCCTTCATCAAGTATAACTATGATGGTTTAGGGTTCTTAATATTCACACAACATAAAGTCTCAACTGCCGCCTTCATCAAGTATAACTATGATGGTTTAGGGTTCTTAATACATGGTTGATATTTTTTTAGGCTTTACAATTTTACTCCTGGTTCATGAATGGTTGTATCAAGTTGGTTCCTATATAAAATAAAAATACAGAGGAATTTAATGAAGGAAAAAATTTAGCTCTTAAAAACTTAAGTTACTGAACTACAAGATAATTATTAGCCAAATTATCAAAACCGAAAAAATTTAGCTCTTAAAAACTTAAGTTACTGAACTACAAGATAATTATTAGCCAAATTATCAAAACCTAGGCTAAATATTTGACCCACAATGATAATACTGAACTACAAGATAATTATTAGCCAAATTATCAAAACCTAGGCTAAATATTTGACCCACAATGATAAAAAAAATTAACTTTAATAAACATGCATGCATATTTAACTTCATATAGCTAAATATCATGCAAATAACTTCAAGTTAAACATGAGATATACATGCTTATCTCTTGACAAAAAACCAATGTATGGATTTTTTTTTTAATTCTAGGGATACAAATCCAAATTAAAAGTACTAGGTTTGATCTAACATTGTACTAAATTACCCAACATAAACTAAATAAATGATAAATCGTAGTTTTGAACTTTTGAGGCTCTAAATAATCTCAAGTATATATTGTTCTAACATTTTGTTGTATGGAATTTTCAAGCACTATTCTTTTCATGTACTATTTCTCAGGAATCATGTTATATTTACTCAAAGCTTGAATGCATATAACTTTCTTAGGCTCCAATTTATTACTTTTACTTTCGTACTTTCAAAAACTAATTACTTTCTTACAATATATAAAAAAGATGGATAGAAATGAAGTTGTGCGTAGGATGAACAATGCAGCTGCTGTTGCTACTGTACTAGTTATGCTAATGGTATTCATACGCCGATATCAACATCGTCCACTTAAAAGACGTAACATCCCTCGTCATCCTTCGTATGTAAGAGACTTAGACAGACATTCTCATATGCGTCGGATATTAAATGGTAGTACATCGAGTTGTCAAGACTATCTCAGGATGCGTATTGGACCTTTTATGAACTTAGCTCAAATGATGAGAGATGGGGGCTTATTGAAGGACACAATCCATGTTCCTATAGAAGAACAGTTGGCTACATTTCTTTACATAATGGGACACAAGTCCAAAAATAGGACTTGCAGAATTGACTTCATACGTTCCAGGGAGACTATTAGCAGGTATTTCAATAAAGTTCTAGGAGCTATTTTTTCTCTTCGGGATAGGTTCATGAAACAAGCCCCAAATGAAACTCCGGCAGAAATTATGGAATCTAGTCAATGGTTCCATTTTTCAAGGTAAGTTACGTATATTAATTATAAACAATTATAGCTATTCTATTGAGATGATACTAATTAGGATCTTGAAAGATATTTTTTTATTCAGGATTGTATTGGTCTAATAGATGGAACACACATAGATGCAACAGTGCCAACTAAAGATGCTCCTAAATTTAGAGGACGCAAAGGGATTACACAAAATGTTTTGGCTGCAGTAACACCAAATAAAGATGCTCCTAAATTTAGAGGACGCAAAGGGATTACACAAAATGTTTTGGCTGCAGTAACACCAAATAAATGATTCATATATGTAATGACTGGTTAGGAGGGAGCTGCAAATGACTTCACAATTCTTAAGGATGCACTATCCTTGCCCCCACCAAATGGTTTGAGAGTCTACGAAGGTAAGACATAAATAAAAATTCGATTAAGATGATAAATTAGTCAATATATTAGTAGGTTATATGTAATATAATAATGCACTTCATCAATATTGTAGGAAAATATTATTTGTGTGATGCTGGATACCCAACCATGCCGGGATTCATTGCTCCTTATCGTGGTGTACGATATCACTTGAAAGAACATAGTGGAAGAGTTCCTAACAATCGTCGAGAGTTATTCAATCTTCGGCATTCATCACTTCGTAGTAAGATAGAATGCACATTTGGAATCTTGAAAAGTCGATTCAAGATTCTTTCTGCCAAACCTCATCATCCTTTCCCAAGTCAAGTAAACATCGTAATTGCATGTACTATTTTACATAATTATATTGCTATTATTGATCCGAATGATAAGTTCTTGAATGAGTTTATGCATGTAAATGAGGAGGATGGAGATATCTTGAATGAAGATGCACCCATTATTGATTTTACACAACAAATGACTCAACGAGAACAACTTGATACGCGGGAAGAGTGGAAGTCACGGCGAGATCAAATTGCATATGAAATGTGGATTGAATATTGTAATCGACATCGTAAAGGAGTCACGTATGAGACACCTTTTTGAGATTTATATGTAATGTTTGTAATGTGCTATGTTATGCAATTTAAACTTTGTTATGATTTGTAGGATTTGAACATTTCAACATGTATGCAATGTGGTATGTAGTGTTGCTTTATGTAGAATTTAAACTTGTGATTTGTATGATTTGCGAGATCAATTTGTTTGTTTTTGTTTCTATAGAGAAGTTCAGTGAGATGATTTGGTTTGCTTTGTTGAAGAACTTTGGATAGTAATAGAAGACGAGTCAATTTTTGGTTAACTGTTGCTGGAGTTTAGTGAGATGATTTGATTTGATCGTTTTAAAAAATATATATTTTTTCTTTTAAACTTGTGATTTGTAGGATTTGATCGTTTTAAAATATATATATATTTTTGCTATTTGTATGATAATTGTTTTTTCTTTTGACAATGTTTTTGCAAGCAGGGATGGAGAATCAAAATGGCTCATTTAGTCCGAAATTTTATTCTCAAAATAGAGATAGTCAAGAGAGTCAAGAGAGTAGAAAATCAAATGCAGCACTTCATGATAATAGCCCTACAGAAAGAATGCCCCAAATTCCATTCTCATTTGGGTCTTTTCAAACTCCAACATATGGATATGGTTCTTTCCAAAATCCTATGTCAGGTATGATGCCTCCTCCTTATGCTTGTGGACCATGGATGCAATTTTTAAATGGTACACCAATACCACAAATGAGATCACAAAGTTCACCCATGAGTGGAACGCCAAGATCATTATCATTTGAAATCCCCTCATCGGAAGCTAGTGGTGGGTCTAAGAGGGTAGCTCGTGAACAAGATGAGGAAGTTTCGTCACCTTCAAAAAAACTTAATCAAACTGTGAAAGTGAAGAAAGCTGGAAACATCATGTGGGATGATGACCTTGATGATTTCGTCATTCCTTTCTTGGCCAATGAAGCTAGGAATGGTGGAAAGTGTGACAAGAGTATGTGGTCTAGGGCATTCAATAATGCGGCTAAAGCATGTACTGAAAAATTCCATCAGTTATTTACCAAGGACAATGTGGGAAACCACTATAGAACTCTTCGGAATCGTTATCTAGACATGCGAAAATGTCATGAAATCAGTGGCACCGGTTGGGATGAAGAAACAAAAACAATAACACTTGATCCAAGTGTTTATAGCACATGGGCAAGGGTAATAATTTCTTAATTTTCTACTTTTAGAATTGTGTATTAGTGTCTAAATCCATTGCACTTCTCTAAATATGCCGCATCAATCAAAGGCTATATAAGTTTTTTATGGTTTCGAAATCAGGTCCAAGAGAAAGTTAATGTCTTAACTAGAGGATTCGAAATCAGTATTATGTGTATCTGCTGCAGATACACAGCAGATACACACAACATGTGTATTTGCAGCAGATACACACAAGTGTATCTGCAGCAGATACACTTGTGTGTATCTGCTATAGATAGTGTATTTGCAGCAGATACACACAAGTGTATCTGCAGCAGATACACTTGTGTGTATCTGCTATAGATACACAGCATATATCTGCTGTGTATCTACAGCAGATACACAACAGATATCTGCTGTGTATCTGCTGCAGATACACAGATCTGCTGTGTATCTGTAGCAGATACACACAAGTGTATCTGCTGCAGATACACATGTTGTGTGTATCTGCTGCAGCAACAGATACACACATGTAAACTCATCTTTATTGCATGCCAGCCCTTTAGGAATTAGTGTAGTAGCCACTGGTGACAAATTTGCTTTGAGACTTGCTAAAATGCTACATCAATCCTAATAGGGTGATCATTTAATTATTAGGAAAAGTTTCAATGTGTAAATCAGTCGCGCTTACTTTTAGTTGCCTTTAATTTGACAATGAGATGGCTTTTTCTTTAACGTTATAATTTCTTTGGGCTAATTATCAAAGTACAAAACTGGGTTTGTCTTTGTAATTCATAATCATTTTCCTCCTCAAAAGAATGCATTTTGTTCCTCATAATTACTTCAACTCTCCTTGCATGGCTCTTATTATTTAGAGTAGGTATGGGTTAGTGATGGAGCCAAGTGCATGCAATGTGATGTGTATCTGCTGTGTATCTACAGCAGATACACTTGTGTGTATCTACAGCAGATACACTTTTGTGTATCTGCTGCAGATACACAGCAGATCTATGTATCTGTAGCAGATACACTCTGCGATACACAACAGATATCTGCTGTGTATCTGCAGCAGATACACATGTTGTGTGTATCTGCTGCAGATACACATGTTGTGTGTATCTGCTGTAGCATATATTTGTTAGTGGAATTAGGCATGGTTTCTGTTCTATTGATGCCACTATTTCTTATATGTCCTATTGTTTTGTAGAAAAATCCAAGACTCAAGGACTACGAGAACAAGCCTTTGAAGCACTACGATGACTTGAAGCTAATTATCGGAGATGATTTCGTAACTGGAGAGTTTAAAAAGAATACGTACGATAATTTTGAAGGAGTAGCCAATGAGGTAATTGATCTTGACTTACCTGTTGAGAATGATAGCTCTCCTATTCAAGTTGGATCATCCACGGAGGCGAAAGCTAACAAAACGGAAAACGCAAAAACTAAAGTTAGAATTGACAAATCATCACGTGCAAACAAACGTCGTCTTGTACGAAATGAGGATTCTGAGGAGATGACAAGTTTTCTTGAGAAAGTGGGAGAAATTGCATGCGCAATTAAAGATGGCAATCAACACTATAGTGTAAAATTGGCCGAGAGCATATATTCTCTTCGTGAATTCCCACAACATGTATTGGATCATGCGCTCGATCATCTATATGATAATGAAAAGCAAGCTAGGCTATTCATAGTGAAGCCATTGGAATCTCAAGTGGCTTGGATGAAAGACCATGTCTTGAAGTATCACTTGAACAACAATAGAAATGTTGGGGATGATATTGACGAGGATTCAAGCTAGGGATGAGTTATTTTGGATAGAAGAAAATACCTTTTGTTGAACATTTCGGTGAATTTGAACTTTAATGTAGGCTTTGATTTATTTTACTTGCTTTTGTTGTGGGTCGGATGACTAAACTTTATTTTTGGTTGTGATGTTGTGGGTTGGATGAGTTATTTTGGATAGAAGATGATACATTTTGTTGAATATTTGGGTGAATTTGAACTTCAATGTAGGCTTTGATTTATTTTACTTGTTTTTGTTGTGGTTTGGATGGCTAAACTTTATTTTTGGTTGTGATGTTGTGGGTTGGATGAGTTATTTTGGATAGAAAAAAAATTGTTGAATATTTGGGTGAATTTGAACTTTAATGTATGCTTTGATTTATTTTACTTGCTTTTGTTGTGGGTTGGATGACTAAACTTTGTTTTTAGTTGTGATGTTGTGGGTTGGATGAGTTATTTTGGATAGAAGATGATATATTTTGTTGAATATTTGGGTGAATTTGAACTTTAATGTAGGATTTGATTTATTTTACTTGCTTTTGTTGTGGGTTGGATGACTAAACTTTATTTTTAGTTGTGATGTTGTGGGTAGGATGAGTTATTTTGGTAAAAACTTTGATGTCAAATGTTAGTGACATCCTTGCTAGTTATCGTGATGAGAAGATATGATTTTCTCCTTTAATTTTCAAAAAGGGTTAATTGTGGATAGACATCTTGTATTATCGCCCACTTGCAAATAGACCCCCTCATTGAACCTTTTTTGTTCAACATGTTTATTTTTAAAAATTAATAGTTTGTTAATTTATTGGATTAAAGAACTTCTCAATAGAATATATTGATCATAACAATTTGTTGTTTGTTTGTTTTTATTTTGGGTTTTTTTTTCTCTTTTTAGAGAGGTAACTTTACCTATGGTAATATGATCATTTGAGTAGGGACCACACAATAACCACTTTTTAAAGTTTCAATTTGCAAACCAAACAAGTGTTTTATGATTCCAATGGAATAAAAAACAAACAATGAAAAGTAAAAAAGTAAAAGTGACGAGGTGGACAACAACTTTTCAAGTTGTGTCATAAATACACAATTTTACCAACAAGAACCAAACGGCCCCTAAGGGTTGGGTTTCATTCATTAAAGTTTGAGATGAGGTGAAAATTTGTCAGCCATATGAAGGATGTACGTAAGTGCCTATTTACGAGGCCTTCTGAGTGTTGGAAATATTAAATTTCAAACCTAAAGTGAAGAACTAAATAAATTTAGGAATAAATCTATTCTATGTATTAAATAAAGTTTTAATAGCTTAGTCAAAGTCTAGCACCTATATAAAGGGCTAGCTAATGTTTGTAAAATCAAGCAAGCAAAAGCAAAATAAAGAGCTCAAAGCAAAGGCATACAAGTAAAGCCTTGCAAATATATTTGCTTCCTCAAAAGTTGTAAAAGTCCATCAAACTTTCGCTAAAATAAAGAGTTCTATATTTGATTAGAGCTCACAAAATGGTATCAGAGCTAGACAGTCCTTCTATCGATGGCCTCGAACAACATATTCCAATCTCAAATTCCAAAGTTGAGTAGAGACAACTTTGAAAACTGGTGTATACACATGCGAGCGCGACTTGCTTCTATGGATGCGTGAGAGCTTATAAAAGATGACTGTAAGGAGCCAGAGTTACCAAAAGAAGAGGCAGCTATGACAAAAGAGTTGAGGGATTAACTCAAGAATTTAAGAAAGAGGGACAATAAAGCATTGTTTACTATCTACGAAGGTGTGAAGGAAGCAACATTCGAGATTGTTTCGGCAGCTTGAACATCCAAAGAAGCATGGGAGCTTCTATAGAAGACCTATCGAGGAGTTGATAAGGTAAATAAAGTCTGACTTCAAACTTTACGTAATGAATATGAAAGATCGTGAATCGATTGCTAAATATCATTGAATAGTTACAACGGTTGTTAATTAGCTGAGGAGAAATGATGAAGTATTAATAGATGTTAATGTGATGGAAAGGATCATGCGCTCTCTACACCCAAAATTTAATTATGTGGTTCTGGCTATTGAGGAAGCACATAATTTTGAAGATATGCCAATAGATGAATTGATGAGTTCTCTTCAAGTCTATGAGAAACACATGCAACCAAGATCATCTTCGACAACAGTAGATCAAGCACTAGAGTCAAGATTGGTTCAAGGTAGTCAAAGAGGTGGTCATAGAAATACAACTCCATAGCATCACGGTCGTGGTATGGGACAAGGCCGAGGTCGACGAGGCAAGCACCAATATGATCAATGATGGAGAAATAATAGTAATCGTGGTAGAGGAGTTACCAGAGGACGATTTATTCCTGGACGTGGTAATGGAGCATTCAGTGTTATAATTGCAACAAGTTTGGACATTATGCTACGGAATGTTGGAATCGATCTTTTGATCAAGGACAACGATCAAATTTTGCAGATGCTAAAGAAAAAAGTCTAGCTCTCCACATGAGGAGGATATTGATCAAAAGAACGTGTGGTTTCTTGATTCTAGGGCAAACAATCATATGTGCGGGAGAAAATAAATATTTAAAAAAAATCTGAGAGGACACTCACGGCAACGTCAGCGTGGGAGATTCATCCAAGCTTCAAGTAAAAGGTAAAGGGATGATTAAAAATTTTCAAAACTATTGAAAAACCTTAATATATCTCCAATGTTTATTACATACCCAACATGGAAAGCGACATACTTAGTATGAGACAGCTCCTAGCAAAAAGGTATATAATACACATGGAAGATACCTTTCTCAGCTTAACAGATGCAAATGAAAGACTAGTCGCAAAGGTGAAAATGACAAAGAATCACATGTTTCCTTGTTTGTTGGAAATTTTGCAGTAAAAAGACAATGAAAGAAAAATTGACTTGTATTTCTCTCAAAATCGATTACAATTTGGATTCCGATTACAAAAGAGAGGAGAATGAATTTGATTCTCCCCTTTGTTTAATTCTAGGTTCTTCACGGTGGCGATGAGATGCCTCCCTCGAATGCTCGCGTCGAGTTTGCTTCTCGTTGACGATCCGAACGTCTTGATTCACTGGAACGTGATTTTCTCCTCACGATTTGACGCTGTGGAGAATTTGCGTGGCAAGTTTGAATATAACTCTTAACGAGTTGATAACTCTGAACGAGTTTTAGAAGAACTTGCAGAGCAAGTTTTGAACTCTGATCGAGTTGATAACTCTGAACGAGTTTGACCTCTTGAAAAAGAGTTGATTTGAACCGAAAGTCGGTTATAAGCCAAGGCCGAATAATTTCAAAGGCTTCAATAAAAGCCTTCCAAAATGATTCAAGAGCTCCTTCAAGTCGCTGATCTCCAAAGCTCTCTGTTGCTGCAGAAAGCTCAAAGATGCCCGATCAAGGATCCCCAAAAAGTCAGCCAAAAAAGAGCCCCCAAAAAAGAAGGATCCCCACGCCCCGAACTCAGTTGAGTTTCCCACTATTTATATGGGATTTAGGGGTGTAACCGCCCCCTTAAATCTCTTCTTAATGAGGGTTTAATGGTGTGTAACTGCCCCCCATGAATCTCTCCATGATAGGGTAGTGATCCCCTCAAATCGTGGGGAGAAAACGGTTCTGGAACCGTTCAAATCATGCTTGAACGAGTCAAACGCTGAAAACAGCGTTCTGGGCCTTAACTCTGCGTCTAAGGCCTGAGACGCAGAGTTAAACCTTTGTCAAAGGTTTGAAACGCACAGGCCGCATGCGTTCTGGAATTGGAGACGCACAGGTCGCTTGTGCGTCGAAATTCAACTCTGCATCAAGAGTTTGGGACGCATGGTTGAGTTTGTTGAAGAACGCACGTTATGTGTGCGTTTGTGCTTTAACTCTGCGTCACAGAGTTAGATGTATGCTGGAAAACGCAGAGTTAAGCCTGTTTGAGGCTGAAAACGCACAATTGTGCTGTTTTAGAGATTAACTCTGCGTTTCTACTCTGCGTTTGGAATCTGGAACGCAGTCACGACCTCTGCGTTTTGAATCTGGAACGCAGTCACGACCTCTGCGTTTTGAATTTCAAATGAGGTCACGACCTCTGCGTTTTGAATCTCAAATGAGGTCACGACCTCTGCGTTTTGAGTTTAGAACGCAGGCATGACCTCTGCGTTTTTAATCTTGGATGCAAAGGTGATCCTCAGGCAGGCTCGGCGAGCTTCAGGCTAAGTCCAATGTTCAGACGAAGTCCAGTCTTGCAGACGGACTTTAGAACATGACTTGCTATGAAGAACATGTCATAACTTTCAAACCGTAAGTCGGAATTGGACGAATTATATATAAAATTCGGCTATCTCTACGAGATGGAGCCATCCGAACCTAGCCAAAGGCTTTAGTTTGCTTCCTTCGTTTTGCCAAATTCCTTACGGTTTGAGAGATATCTGCGTTTTAATATGAAGAGACCGTCAATTTGTAGTCTCTTTTGCTAGAGCGTTGCAAAGATCGTCACCTTGTAACATTCGTCTTGGCTCCTTGAAAATACGAGAGTCGTCAGATTGTAACTCCATATGTTGATTGTGAAGGCTGTTGAATTAGAGCTTTCATTAGTTGTTGTAAAGGTCGTCAGATTGTAACCTTCTATGTGAAAGTCCTTAAATTGTAGCCTTCTGGAAGTCGTCAGGTTGTAACTTCCATCATCGGTGTTTGATGGGGGATTAACTATCTATTGTGATTTTTAGACAACCTACAGAACCCCCTCCAAAGTTTTCGAAAGTTCGCGGTTGACTGAGATGAATTTTCGGAATACTTTGGATCTCAACTCTGATCTTGGAGCTGTTGATTCCTTGTCATAAGGAGTTGTCTTTGAGACTTGTCTTTGGCGCATCTGTTTTAAGTCTCGACTCACATCTATTAAGCTGATGGGCCTGCAAATGTGCGTAGGATTTTTGGCAAACCCTCAGCCATCAACGGATTTGATAAGCCTTTACCGATTACCGTTTGAGTCGGGCTAGCATGTGAATTATCTAGGTCCGTTCCACATGTAACGTTGTGCTAAGAGAATGAACTCTCTTAGTCTTGATGCTATGATTTTGAATACATAGACTTTGTCATTTTGACGGGAAAAGACTAACCGGCAACGCGTGTTAGGCGTAGACTTATCTCTATTTAGGGATCAAGATAAAGTTCCCCATGCGTGTGAGGCATGGATTTTGATGC